CCTATTTAAGCTTCCAAACAATTTGTAAAATGGGACTTTACAGATTAACAAAGAAGTCATGGGAACAAGTTAATGCCATGGGATTTTCACTAATTTTCCCTTAAAAAATGGAGAGGGATGGAAAAGATCACTTTGAAGATGCATTCCAAAATGTTGTACTTGGAGAATGGAATTTTAAATCCTATTCTTTTCTCTCTCTTTCCTCCTCATCCTTCTCTTTCCCTTTTTGAGATGAAATAGAAAATAGAATATAGAATTTTGGCATTTGGTGCCACAGAACATGACGTGCAACATTTTAACTCTCAGTGTGCTTGTGCTTGGATTTTCTGTTATTAAGTCATCAGTCTGCTACATTTTAAGAGTAGATGTTCTTCAATACATGAAATTAGAGAAAACATGAGACGGTAGTAACAGTCCCCATCAAGTCATCAGCTACAACTAGTGTGTGCTTGTATTATTGCGTCAACTAAATACAACTAATCAGTACATTGTTTTTATTGTATTCATAGTATATATCTCTCAAATAAGGAAGGGGTTGTGTTTATTATTATTTGTCTTTTGGTGTGTATACTTTTCTTGCATTTACTAACTTGATTTTGTCTCATATGATTATTTCACCTTTGCTTATGTAGATAATATATAACAATACACAATGAGCGAAGGAAGCAACAAACCTTGCATACACAAGCGATTTACACCAGCTTTCTTCTTCTACAAGTATTATTTCTTCACACTATTCAATGTATGATTTTAAATACATGTTTTATGTTCGGTTTAAATATTATCTCTTAATAAATAAATAAAAAATATATTGTTAATACAGAGAAAGTGATAATTCATGTCATCTCCCCACTTAGAAGGCGCGGCACAAATAACAGTTACCGACACGGTTTGCACATTGCCTACCTACCACATACTGTTTACATATTTTATATTATCTTTGTCTTTCATGTTCTACTTGCATCACTTATATTTAATTTTGAGGCAATGTAGATGAAGAAGGCCGTAGGACATGAATCGAGAACCCGGCAGAAGGAAGACAAGGAGTACAAAGAGATGGACATGTGGACTGTTGATAAGCAAGCAAAGTTGGAAGGTCCCCTTCCCACAAAACAAAGAAAGGTGAAATACAAAGAGAACAACAATTTATTGTTTTATTATGACATATTTCACACCCGTGCATAAATATCATACTAAGTTTTGGAATCGATGTATCAACTGTGTAGTCAATTGGTATCCATAAATTTCAGCAAGCTATACATACATCGTTGGATTTGAACAAAAAAAATATATATATATAATTGGACATGTCTATCAAAAATGTCGAAGCATCATACTAAATAATATTGTTGACATAAACCATCCAAATGTTGTCCATCACATAAGCCATCCATGAATCCTAACATTGTTTCAATTTTCTTTTCATAATAAATGGGACAAAAAGTAACACTGTTCGCAAAAGTATGGGATGATCAAAGTACCACCACTGGTTGCACAAAAAGTAACATTGTTTGTAAAGAAAAGTTGACACTTTTTGCACAAAAAAGTAACACTGTATGCAAAAAAAAGTAACAGTGTCAGCTAAATCATTGGCCTTGCAAACTTTGTTCAACCATCATTGTCTGTGTCCATTTGTTGGCTGTCATCATGGTTGGACCCATTAGATTCCTGCTCACTATCATTAGAACTAGTTGAATTCTCAAAATCTTCACCACAAAAGGCTTTCCGCATTTTTTTAAGCTCTAACTTGACCTTCCTCATGTCTTTCTTGTGCTGCAACTCCATCCGGTTCAATATGGACACAGCCTCGTACAAACGAGTTGATATGCTCTCCAATGAAGTAGGATCTTGTCTTTCACGGTGCTTTCGACTTTGCCCTTGTGTTTTCCCATACGTTCCACGACCTATGTGGCTCATCTTCCCCTTCCATTCATCATCTGGCCGAGTCGGTACACAAAGCTCAAGTAGCATATCAGTCACGAGGAGGCCGAATGGTAATGATGCATGTGGATTGTTAGCTTTTGCGACAGAATCCACAACTTGCCAAATTATCTTTGGAACATCTAGAGGGCTGAAATTATGGACAGCATACAACATGAGTGCTCGTTCATGGTCAAAAGTGGATTTCACCCCCCTTGGGTCAAGATTGTACCACAAGATAAGATGAAGAACGGCAAGGTCAGGCTTCAGGAACTTTACATGATACTTGTCTTGTGGTATGACTACTTCAATGTACAAATCGTCAACAATTTGGGCTTCATTAGGAAGGTCAACACCAGGAAGGTATGGATATTGTGTTTTGTCATCATGTGTTGGTCACTGAATGTCTAAGAATTTTGATATGCAATCCGCGGAAAACACCACATCTTTCCCCCTCAGTTTTGTTTTCAGAATCAAGTTCTCGGTATCAGTTGGCTTTTGTATGCTACCATAGAATTCCCGTACCAGGTTGACATTAGCCTTCCCTTCCCGTTCGATTAGGTTTTGGATATGCAGGTGGCCCACAATTGCTGGAATATCAGTATGAGTTAACTCCTTTAACTTGACAGCCTGCTCTACCGTAATAGCCCATTTAGCAAAAATACCAAGGTCAACGTGAGGAGCTTCCTCTTTTCCTTTACTCGGTTTTTTGGTTGTCTTTTTCCGTGGCATCTTCAATTACCTACGTAATATCCAAACATATTAAAACATATGTACGTCATTGGATAGATTCAAATTTTAATCATACAATGACAAATGCAAATATATTAAAACGTTATTGATTTCAGTCATCAATGTCCACCATTTCTTACCAAGCAAACAGACAATTAAAAAAATATACAAAAGAAAAATAGAGACAGTTCGGTATTATTAACAGTGATTGTTTGTAAAGTAATGGCATGAGCAAGTCTTTATTTTATTAGCAATCAAACAAATTTAGAGTTTATTCAGCTTTATTTTTCAAATTAATCTCCAAACTACGAAATTTATTAAGTCAAAAATATTAAAAAATATTAAGTCAAATATTTCAATGGAAGAAACACTCAAGTCAAAATATTAAAACATAGGCAATTTTTGAATTTATAATTAAATTGGAAAAATGTTTTAGGAAAATTCTTCCAAACACAATTCACTTTTTAAGAAACACCTAAAAGTTAATTGTGTTAGTTTCAAATGTGTCTAACACATGTGTAGACATAAGAATATCCAACATTTGTCATGATTCATTAGTCCACTCAACACCTTTGATTTTTAGCCATAATGAGGATTCTGCATCTTCTATGACCTGGGTGAAGGAAAGTAGCCTTGCATATGGATTTGGATCATTACAGTCAAGTTACTGTACTCTCACTTGTTATAAGCAGTTGTAATTTTTACTCTCGACTGCTTCAAAATGAAGATTATTCCATGATTCGGATCTCTTGTGTGAGCAAATAGCCAAATAAGCTCAAGTCCTAATTTGACTACATCAACAGGCTCAAGTCCAAAATTTTCTTAGATGCTTTTAGTTTTAAGGAAGTACATTTGCAAAGTTGGTTTAATGCTACACTATTGTTTGAATGACAACTTGGGTTCATGTTACTAATTTTTTTGTTGGCTGATGAAGTTGTTTATATTTTGGCAATGCACATCTCCATCATCTCTTATTACACCTATACATCGATACCATACCATTCCACTATAAGCATAGTTATGTGTCACCTAACAGCAATGTCCACCATTTCTTACCAAGCAAACAGACAATTAAAAAAATCTACAAAAGAGAAATAGAGACAGTTCGGTATTATTAACAGTGATTGTTTGTAAAGTAATGGCATGAGCAAGTCCCTATTTTATCAGCAATCAAACAAATTTGGAATTTTTTCACCTTTATTTTTAAAATTATTCTCCAAACTACGAAATTTATTAAGAATGCCTAAGATTAAAACAACTAAGACATTAACAAAACATAACTACTAGCCACTAATGTCTCCTTGTAAAAATAATGTTTCGATCACTGTAAGCCTCATCATGAAAGTCAACTACACTGGATCATTTGAATAAATTGGCAATTCATCGATATCATCCGTGTGGGGATCCAACTCTGTGTTCATGAATGGTTCACTGTCTGAGTTGCTACCCTCTCTCTGGCTACTTGAAGCCAATTTTTTACACGTCCGCTTCGTGTGTCCGATGCTCCTACAGTAGCAAATAATGTATAAACGATTTTAATAATCATATGCATGTAACAAGATATAAAAAGGTCATACAATGAAAGTACCATACCTACAATACCCACACCGCCTTGGTTTTGGAGGTTTACCCATAGAAGATGTCCCTCCGGGGTTCCCTTTGGTCTTCACTACATTCGGATCACCAACGTCATATAGTTTGGGTGTAATATTTTTGTCCCCAGCCTCGGCGTTACCTTCTTTTCTCATTGCCCAATGTTTTTTCATCTGCGATGTCAGCTGGAAAGCTATTTCCCTTGCCTCTTCAAAATCTTTGTCCGCGTGTGAGGCACAATATGACATTTCACTAAAACAGGAGCTGAGTATACCAAACCGAGCTGTCTGTGTTAGGGTGCTACAAATTTGGGTAAGACTTGGTTGTTGACACTTTGACCTACCACGTCTTGTCCATCTCTGCAAGACACAACTCGGTGGAATACACATTAATTGTTCAGATTTCATAACAGCAATCATGTGGCAGCAAGGGATGCCAAACGACTCAAACTTCAAGCAACAACATTTCATTGTGATATTAGCTGGAAAATACTCAACCGTCCACGTGCATGTTGGTGCCTTGTACTCACCAAAACGGTAGGTGCGATGATCCTCAAGCTGAACTCTTTCCATCACAAACAATTTACCCTCTTTCCTGTTTTCATGTTGAAACAATGAGAAAATCTTCCGAGTAAAGAGTTCAGCTGCATGTTTCTCCAAACTCCTCAATGGCGTAGTCAAAACCGGGAAACTATTCTCTGTTTTAGATTCTGTTTCTGCCTCATTAACACGCATTCTAGCAAGAGCCCTATCATACTACGCTACAAATTCATACAGCCTAACCTTTTGGTTTAGGAATATATTGAAATATGCATTTATACCCTCGACACGTTGAGTGCTCCTCATTCCAGCAAACATGTGACCACGGAGATATGCCTCAGCCCAATTATCACGCTTCAGATGAATATCCGACACCCAGTTATTGTTCTCCAACTTGTACTGTTTCACCATAGCAGCCCAGGCATTGTCAAACTCATCAATTTTACATTTCTTTAACATCAACTGTGCAAAATCAGTTGTAAATTCTGGTATGTGGACATTTGTTGAGGCATTTTTCTCCAGATGCCAAGAACATAAACGATGTCTGCAGTTTGGAATAACTCTTTTGATTGCCTGACGCATTGCCCTATCACCATCTGTTACAACGGAGATGGGTCTTTTACCATCCATGGCCTCCATTAACATTTCCAGCACCCACGTGTATGTCTCCATTGTCTCATCAGGCAACAAAGCACATCCGAATATAGTTGTCATGAAATGGTTACTCATGCCAGCTAGAATTACAAATGGCTTCTTTTATGCATTTGTACGATAAGTTGTATCAAATACCAATATGTAACGCCCTCAAAATAATAACATTAAACCCATCAAATAAGATATGCATTGATATGTAAAAGTTCCACATTCTTCCATTTATCAGAGTTTCATTACATAAGTATTACATGTTATCATTAAAAGTAAAATGCCCTACGGGCTTACAGCTTTCCAAGTTAACACTTGGTTACAACAAAAGAGTACTAACTCATTTACACATTAAGCCCTTGGCTTGAAATTACATGTAATACATCAAAAAAGAAAACGACAAAAGTATGTCCGCCTCTAGCCTCCCAAGCTATGTCCTTGGAGGTGGCATGCTACCTGTACCTGAAAATGATATTCCCATATAGGGTGAGCCACAGCCCAGTAGAAATACACTAAACCAACCATGAACAATGACTAAAAGATTAGCAATTGATAGATGGCCAACACTGATACATTCACATAAATCACATATTTATGTCATACGACTTATGAGTCCAAGTTACTTTTCATTTTCCCTTTTTCAACAGATAAGCATATTCGCTCTATCATCATTATCACAACAGATATGTATAAGAACTATATCCCACATTCACAGATAAGCATATAAGCTACATCCACTTTTCACAAAGATAAGCATATTAGCCCTATCTTCACTTCACTAGACAAGCATATGAGCTGTATCTACACTTCTCAAAGATAAGCATATGAGCTCTATCTTCATTTCTCTAGACAAGCATATGAGCTGTATCTACACTTCTCAAAGATAAGCATATGAGCTCTATCTTCATTTCTCTAGACAAGCATATGAGCTGTATCTACACTTCTCAAAGATAAGCATATGAGCTCTATCTTCATTTCTCTAGACAAGCATATGAGCTGTATCTACACTTCTCAAAGATAAGTAAGGGCTTAGTATCGTCACTTCTCTAGACAAGCATATGAGCTGTATATCTTCCCCTAAACCGTGGAGTACATCCCCCATCTCCTCTTCTACACATAACGTATACAAACACATTGGTTCTATATACAATCACTCAATACATACAGTTAATGTATTTTATCAACCGTCAAATTCCATGACACATTCCATTGATTAGTTTTCGTTTGCCTAATCATCATGCATTGTCTACAACAATCACGACTATCCTCAACCGATAGCCCAAAGCAATTATTTCTAAACAGAAAATAAATGCACAAATGGATATTCAATCAACATTTCAATTCGGTGTGTGATAAGCAATACAACTACACCCTTTAACCCCATACACTCCCAATCTCAACAATTCCATTTCATTTCCTCATTTCTCACAATTAATTGTCCCAATTAATCAATCAATGTAATTAGGTCATTTTCCATAATTAACATTTAAACCCTTAGGTCCCATTTTCATCAATGATTCAACATTTATTCCATTTCTCTATGCCAAACATGCATCTAGGTTTATTATAAATAAAACCCCAACTTTTGTAAAATTACACAAAAGCCCCAAACTTTCACAAAATTACCAAACCAACCCCAACATCTCAAAATACTAAAATTTAAAGACAAAATCCATAGAGAGGAGTAGGATATCCCTACCTCAAATTCGGAGCCCCAAAGGAGAAGATGACAAAACCCAACGTGCTCCAAAACCCGAAATTTTCAGATTAAAATATAGCCCTCGACGATCAACAACTTTTTTGTAAAGGCCAAAGGTGAGCAAATCACTCCTACTAGATCAAAACCTAGAGAGAAGGTAGTATCTAGAGAGAGAGGCTCAACAATGGTGTTTTTGAAAAAGTAAGAGAGAGAAGAGAAAGTGAAAAAGTGATTTGAAGAGTCAAAACTCGGAACTTAAACCCAGTCGCTCCGCTCGAGCGTAAAACACTCCGCTCGAGCGTCACTCACAGACTCTCGCTCGAGCGGCCAAACTCCCGCTCGAGCACCGGATGCACTCTCCCAGCACTTTTGCAGAACCAGACCTCCGCTCGAGCTCCCAACTCTACGCTCGAGCGTCACTCACATAACCCCGCTCGAGCGGCTAATTCCACGCTCGAGCGTCCAACACTGCACAGAAAATACTGGATGGGTGTATTCCACGCTCGAGCGCCAAAACCCCCGCTCGAGCGGACAGGTCAAAATCTGGGCAACTAGTTTTGGTTTCTAAACTCAACCAACTTGCAACAAACCCGCCCAACACATCCTATAACTCAAATATGAAGTAAAAAGGATGTAAACAAGATAACAGTCAACTTCCAACATCCACGGACACATGTCCGGATCACTGTACAACAAGGGTAAATCCGGGATCGCTATACAATACATCACCAAATGCAGCATAATCCATTCGAGACCTACAATCTGCCCAGAAAATCTTGTCCAACCGGTTGTCCTTATCGATGTTGTATTTGAAAAAAAATAATGGATCTGCATCTAATTTAGCTGACAAGTATCCTAACGCACCCTCTGCATCCCCTTCTGCGAGTTGTACTTTGCGCTCAGCTTGGAATTGATTGTGCAAATCTCTGTGAATGAAGCCCACCTTCTCATAACCCCCCTGACTGATGGACCATAAAATCCATGATCTGACTCGTTTTCATACCCACATTGCGCATGGCCTTTGCTTGAGCTTGGTCTGCATTTGTTACAAACCTATGTGACCAAAGAAAAGGGACGCAGTGTGGTGCTGCCAACGGATGGTTGTGTTCCCCTACAAAGTGGGTCACAACATATTTCCTAGCTGTCTTGTCATAACGCACACGAAAAGTGGCATTACAAAAAAGTCTAGTTTCTGCCCTAGGAGTTCTTACCCGTTCCACACGTTGCAAGTATTTCTTTTCTCTTACACCTTCCCTTGAACAAACCCATTTCCTACTCTCTACAAATTTGTTGTCTCCAATAATTCTTTTTCTACTTCTTCTTACGCTAAAACCGATGACCTTAGCGTATGCATTGTAGAAAGTATAAGCATCATCCTCTGAATTGAATTTCATTTGCAACACATCTTCCTTAGTAAGCATTCGTAAACTATCATAGGTTTGGGAAGCTAACCCTTCTTTCACATCAACAACATCATCCTTGCCATCTAGAGCAAATTGATCATCAATTTCAGTATTGACCTCTTCAGGCCTACTACTTTCAGGTTCATCCATTGTATATACACTTCTAAGTACCCTATTAGCAATTAAAACGAAACAAATCAACTAAAAAACACACATGCCATTGCGCTGCTATAATTTACATCTCCAGAACAAATAAATATAATAGCACCCCTGCCAGTGCCTTGCAATCAATTGTTTGAAAAATTCAAACATGTCTGCAAGCACCCTACTATCAACTAAAACCAAACAAAAAACCAAAAAAAGCACACCCGCCAATATTGTGCTATCAATTATTACTTCTTTATAGAAAATGAACAAATAAGCACACCAGTCCGTGCTATGCTATCAATTATATGCCAATAATAAAAAAACACCTGTAAGTACCCTACTATAAATTAAAATAAAATTAATTAATTACAAACACACCTGCCAGTGTTCTGTTATAAATAAAAAAAAAACAAAAAAAAAAAAATACAAAATACAAAAGAATATATTAAATTTTATAAAATTTATTAATAAGATTTAACTTAAAAAATATATTTATTAATAAGATTTAACTTAAAAATTATTAGTTCATATATATTTTATTTTTAATTTTATAATCAATTTCTGTATTTAATCTTTATACACAAAAAATTAGATCATAATTGATGACAAGGGCCCTATCAAGCTATCCCTAGCCATGTCCTAGCTCTGCCTAATTATCTTCTTCTTTTCTTGAGCCACTTCTTTCCTACAATTGATATGAGCTTTTTTGTTTTTTGATTTTTGGTTTTTTGTCCTCTCAAACAAATAAATAAGCACACCAGCCAGTGCCCTGCTACCAATTCAAAGCAAAAAATTTCAAAAACACAGAAGCAAGTACCTTAATATCAATTAAAATGAAACAAATAAATAAAATAGCACACCCGCCAGTGCCCTACTATTCATTAAAAGCAAATAAATAAAATAGCACACCCGCCAGTGCCCTGCTATTAATTAAAAGCAAATAAATTAAAAGGCAGACCTGCTAATGCAACCGCTACGGAGGAAGGGATGGAGGAGTTTTAGGTTTACTTCTACGTTAAGATGGAGAAATTGAGGGCCTATGACAAACAAAAACAGAACATCGAAATAGAGTTAGTAAAGAAGACAATACTTAAGGAAAGTAATGATTATGGCGAGAAAAGAAAGAATCTATCTACGAAAAATATTATTTTGCACATCTTTTCACCTTAACAAACTGCATAAGCAATAACAGAGATAAAAGTCTACTACCTTTGTTCAAAGTATGAATAACCATTACACAAATGTACCACAACCAACCGTTTGACCACTTCAAACAAAAATTAAATAAAAATAACCACAAAAAAGGATTATTTGATTGGATGAACTATTGGACTATTTGGTAGATCATTTTTTGGTTAATTTCCTAGTATTTCCTATGTCACAGGTGAAGCTGAGTAGCTTCTAAATCAATGGACTATTGGATTGTTTTTCTGAAAACTTCGTATCCGGCCTATAAAACTATTGGACTACTGGATTTCGATTATTGTTATTGGATTTTCTAATCTTGATAGAACCTTAATGGTGTTGAAGTTCATATTCACTGTTTGGCGTGAATATTTATTCTCACAACTTTCACCATCTAATATTCACAAACAAGAAAGGATAAGCTTTGTGCATCTTGGAGATTTTGGATGATAGAAGATAAGTTGGAAGTCTTTGTCAAAGAACAAGGTAAACGAATATAACAAAAATTGAATTCGAATTTGAATTTTAATATACAATCTTCACCACCACAATTACAAGCTTGCTTTTCTACCCAAGATGAACTATAAAAGCCGACACCAGTAGTTTAGCGGTATGGGGTTAGACCCTGTGATGAATTGTAAACCTAGACATCTTAGTTTGACTCTCATTAGTGTCTCTCGGGCTTAACACATACCTGTGGTTTACCAATGATTGCAGGTATCAAAAGTTCACTCCATAAGGGTGGGTCAAATGTGGCCCTGCCTTTCAATTGCGTTGTCTAAATCTTAGTGCTGAAAAAATGGACCATCAAATACCTTAAAAATGGTTAAATAAGCTGCATGGGATATAACACGGAACTATATTTTTTTTTGTTTTCTCACTTGTTATACAGATTTCAACTTTATATAATTTGAATCATACTCAATAAATTTAATCTGTATATTTTGACTTTTTCTTTTTTCCCTTTATGAATATAACATTGATGGGATCCAATGTGGTTGATGAGGGAGGATATTTCATGAACAAGAAATGATTTTGGGATGCATATAGGATCCACGTATGGTTTCACCAAAAAGAGCTACCAAGTGCACAAACCCTTTGGTGGTTTTGCACTCAATACCACCAAAGATATTGGCATAGCTGGAGAGCCATATGAAAAACGCAATATTTATCACAGCTAAGAGTGAAACCCACATGCATTTGAGTTCAAATGTGTTTAACTTTTTTTAGTGTTGTGTCTGGTCTTAATTGATAGACATAATTTATGGATGACTACGAGTATTTAGAACTTTATTGTACATGATAGATTCAATACAACCCTACTTGGAACAAAAATTAATTACAACGGTGATACCATCCGACCAATAAAATATCGTAAATGAAATTTGTTTGATATTTTTTGTCTTTCCTAATCCAATAATGTTGTCCCTACTAATATTAGCCCTCCCTTTTGTTTCTGGCTATTGGAGTCCAGTAATTCGTTTTCTGTGGGGAGTTTTAGTTGGGAAATATTTATCTTCGTGGGCTAAAATCAAAACACAACTCAGAGAAAACTTGCTTGATTAATCAATAGGTCGAGTATGAACTTAGGAAAATTGTACTCAAATTTTTTATGTAGGAAGAATGCTGGAAAGCCAATCAAATACAATTTGCTGCCTATTTTGGTATTTTGTTCTGTTATTTAATCTAATGTGGTAAAATCCTTTTACCTCTAAACCTGAACTCAAAGGAAATTTCAGCTGTGTGAAGTACATATTATAATGTAACTTCATTAATCAAGTTAACCACAAGCCTATCTGGCATTAGATAAAAATTGCCTTTTTGTTGAATATATAATCACATGTATTTATCTCACATGTATAATCACATATTATAATGTAACTTCATTAATCAAGTTAACCACAAGCCTATCTGGCATTAGATAAAAATTGCCTTTTTGTTGAATATATAATCACATGTATTTATCTCAATGTTGCTAGAAAATTTTGGAACAAGGATTGGTGAAAGACCCACTACTTCTCAAAATTAGCTGAACAATTACATAACAAGAATGTGTAAGTAGTGACATATCAATGATTTCTACATTGTCTTCTATTTCTATATACATGTGCTTATTATGTATGTGGCATGAATTCTTTTCAGCGCTCATTGAAATGATGCAATGTGACCAAAGGTCTTTAGAATTGCCATCAACCACTCAAAATAAAGAAGAGAAAAATCCTTCTATAATATTAAATTTTATGGGCTAGCTCAATGTCAAGCAAATCAATGTTGAAGGTAGTCAGGTAGACAGCTTTATGGCTAACCCAACTGGCCACCATAGCCCAAAGGTTATGGTAAAATGAAAATCATCAACCTCCCGAAACCAAAAAATAAAAGTAAATAAACATAGATACACACATGTATATGCAACTGAAATTTTATTAAACAATTAAATCTCTAAGATTTTGAAAGGTGATGGAATACCTCCTCCATCTCAGGTTCGTAACAGTACTCCATCACCTTCTTCATAACTGGTTTCTTCCCTCTGACAGAACCTGCAGACTTTGAAACATCATTTTCCTCAACCTGCAGAGAAGAAAACAATACTTCTCTCAGATATCTAATACTTTTTCAAACGTCATTTGGATTAGAAGTAACAGGAATTGATAAAAGGACAGCAGAATGATGAGCCGGAGAATAAATCTAGCATAGCAAGCCAAGCGTTTGAAGAGTTAGAGCTCAAGTTCAACAAGATATGAAACTGGTGACAAACCTTTTCAACTTCAGTCATGAAGTAATCATCCATAGAATGAATTCTCGGGGCATCACCACCATTTTCAACCTCAAGATCACGCAACAGCTTTGCCAAGTAACTCTTCCCACTTTACTGGATTCTGACTCCGCTATTGCTTAAACCAATTGAGAGCATAGGACCACCGACAAAATGGCCCAAAACTGCAAAAGTAAGTACTTTAGAAGTTAGACTGTTTCTTGAAGCATCCAAAGTCTGCTGAATATTGGTTGAGATGTCTCTTTTTATCTTTTTTGTCAGAGAATGGAGCTCACTACATGTCCCTACCCCTGTTTACTTGCCACGAACTCTACCTTTTTCTGACTGTAAACGTAACAATAATAATAATCAGCAAATTTCCCAATCAAAAGATTTTTTTGAAAATTTTCACTTAGGCAAAGATTCAAGGAAGCTAACATCTACAAGTTTCTTGCTATTTGTCGCTAGGGGTCAATTGTGTTGTGTGTTAATTTGAAACAAATAAATTTAAAAACACAAAAGCAATTACCCTACTATTAATTACAATGAAACAAATAAATAAAATAACACACTCGCCAGTGCCCTGCTATTCATTAAAAGCAAACAAGTAAATAAGCACACTAGCCAGTGCCCTGCTATAAATTCAAAAACACAAAAGCAAGTACCCTACTATCAATTAAAATGAAACAAATAAATAAAATAGCACATTTGCCAGTGCCCTGCTATTCATTAAAAAAAACAAATAAATAAGCACACCAGCCAGTGCCCTGCTACCAATTCAAAGCAAAAAAAATTCAAAAACACAGAAGCAAGTACCCTAATATCAATTAAAATGAAACAAATAAATAAAATAGCACACCCGCCAGTGCCCTGCTATTCATTAAAAGCAAACAAATAAAATAGCACACCCGCCAGTGCCCTGCTATTAATTAAAAGCAAATAAATTAAAAAGCAGACCTGCTAATGCAACCGCTACGAAGGAAGGGATGTCGGGGGTATAGGTTTATTTTGACGTTAAGATGGAGAAATTGAGGACCTATGACAAACAAAAACAGAACATCGAAAT